TGCATCCACCCCAGCGTCTTCCACCCCAATCATCTCCCATCTTGCCCCCAACACCCTCCTCCTGATGGCCTTCACCCCATGTCCACCATAACCACCTCTACTCTAATGGTCCCCACTCAACACCCTTCATCCTGACAGCTTTCACCCCATGCCCACCCCAAGAGCCTTCATCCTGATGGGCTCAACCCCAACAGCCTCAACCCAGGTAGCCCCCACCACATATCTAGCCCAACATCCTGCACCCCAATGGTCTTCACCTCAACAGCCTCCAGCCCACGCCCATCCTGACGGCCTCCATCCCAATGGCCTTCACCCCATGTCCACTCCAACAGCCTTCACCCCATACCTATCCCAATGGCCTCCATCCCAGTAGTATCCATCCCAATGGCACACCCCAACAATCACCACCCTGACAGCCTCTACCTCAAAGGCCTCCACCCCAAGACCCCCCACCCCATGCCAGAGCTTACCCACAGTGCCAGACTCAGCCATGATGCTCCTGACAGGACCAGCAGTGCCCGGGCTCCCCACGGGGGCTGGGGTACTGGAGCCCCGGAGGAGGGAGGCCAGGGGGTTGAAGGAGAGGCAGAGGAAGACGAAGGTGCAGAGGGCCATGCGGGAGCGATCCAGCATGCCCTGGCTGCTGGGTGAGGGTGGTGGGTGCTCCTGCTTCACCTGCATGGGCATGGACATGGGGCATGGTGATGGGGCACAGGTATGGAACACGGGGCATGGGATGACATGGTGATGGGGCACAGGTATGGGAGACAGGGCATGGGATGACATGGTGATGGGGCACAGGTATGGAACACGGGGCATGGGATGACATGGTGATGGGGCACAGGTATGGGACACAGGGCATGGGATGACATGGTGATGGGGCACAGGTATGGGACACAGGGCATGGGATGACATGGTGACGGGGCACAGGTATGGGACACGGGGCATGGGATGACATGGTGATGGGGCACAGGTATGGGATAGAAGACGTGGACATGGAGTGCAGGGTGTAGGCAAGGGGAAGAGCACATTTTGGGGTCCAGAGCATGCGGCATGGGTGCAGCAACCCACTTCACCCCAGAATGGCCCCCACAATCCTCCCTCCAGCCCCAGATTGAGTGAGGAGCAGCCTCAGAGAGCAAGACCAAGGCTCTCAGCTCCTTTCTCCATGCCAGCATCTGGCACACTCTGTTCCTGGTAACCCCCGGGGGGATGCAGCAGATCCCCTGCCCCACTCCGGGTGG